GGGTGGGGGGGGAGAAGATTGGCCCTGCACTAATACTTGTTGCTAATCTTCCTCTTTTTTCCTTTTTCTCCCCAAAGCCCCAGTACATAGTTGTGTATCATACTTGTCGAGTTGTAGCTCTTCTATATGGGATGCTGCCTCTGCATGGCTTGATGAGCAGTGAGTAGGTCTGCACCCAGGATCTGAACCAGCGAACCGCGGGCCACCGAAGCCGAACGTGAGAACTCATCCAGTTCACCACGGGGCCGGCCCCATCTCTGCCTCTTCTAATCTGGTCCACCATCTCCAGCTGGATTACCGCAATAGACTCTTTCAGCTCTCTTGCTTCTAGTGCTGCCTCCCTTCTGTTACTTAAAACTGCAATGGCTCCCCATCTCACTCCAAGTACCAGCCCAGTGCCTTGTTACAATATTACAATATTACAAGGCCCTATCTTCTGCCCAGCCCCCACCTCTAGTCTTCCCTCTCTGTCTTCCCTTCTGTTACTTTTCCTCTTCTCTTCTTCTATTCCCTCCACACTTGCTGCTTCTGAAACATCCCTACATCATGTTCCATCTCTGGGCCTTCGATAGTCCCTCCACCTAGACTATTCCTTCACTCATTCTCTCCTTCCAGTCTTTGCTTAAATGTTACCTTCTAAAGGAAGCCTGACCTTCCTATTTAAAACTGTGAGCCTGAGCCTCACCCTTGTTATACAATCTTTTTATTTATTTACTTTCTGTCTGTCCTTGTTAAAACATAAGCTCCGTGAGGGCAGGGATTTTTGTTCATTGTTATATGTTCAGCATCTAGAAGAGTGCCTGGCAAACAGTAGATGCTTACTGTTAACTGAATAAATAATTGCATGGGGGTAAAAAAAAAAACGTGACTTATAAAACCAAACAAGTTTTACCAAGCAATATAATTGACTTCAAAAATAACAAGACGTGGCACAATACAATGAAACAAACAAGCTCAAACGAGCTTTGAGACCTTAGACAGGGATGCTGGGAGGCTAAAAAAAACATCAAATATCATAGCATTTTTTAAAATTATGAATGCTCCAAAACTCCTAGCTGCAATTACATTCTAGTTTTTCATGGTCTCAAAGATGAGTTAAGAAATATAAAGCTACTCATTACAAAATAAAGATTTAAGAATTATGGGAACAAATTTCCATCCTTAAGTGGATTCAACTTTTCCTGAGTCAGACATAAACGAGAATCCTAGAGGTCCCAAGAAAATTACTGCAAAGTCCCTGCTTTCTAGCCTATCACATACTCAACAGGAATCATGGATTGGCCTCTCTTCCTTTTCCTCCTTTGCCCTTCATGAGAAACCTGGAAAATAGTATCAAGGATCTGCAATACTTGGCACTAGTTAAAATTCGTAAGAATTGTTCTTCCGGGCCGGCCCCGTGGCTTAGCGGTTAAGTACGCTCGCTCCGCTACTGGCGGCCCGGGTTCAGATCCCAGGCGTGCACTGATGCGCTGCCTCTCCGGCCATGCTGAGGCCGCGTTCCACATACAGCAACTAGAAGGATGTGCAGCTATGACATACAACTATCTACTGGGGCTTTGGGGGAAAAACAAATAAAAAAAAAAAAAAAAAAAAAGAATTGTTTTTCCTATAAAGAATGTTGCAGAAAATGTTTCCTTCCAAACAAACAACAAAAAAATGATTACCAATATTTATTGCTTAGGTGGTCTTTTTGAAGACATTCCATAGTCAAAGAACAAGGTATAGGACTATATTAAACAATGGGTTGTTAATGCCTTCCCTGCTAAAATTTGTTTTTTCATATCTAGGAGAAACAAGCAATTGCCAGAAAGGCTAGAATAGGAAAATCAAATACTCTAATTACGTACCCATGGTTCCCCAGAGCCATTACTGATTAAAAACTGTTACCATTTCAATCTTCCTACTGGAGATATCTACTAACTAGAACTGCTTGTGAAGCCAATGAATTTACATGTAATTACATGTATCCTACACAATCACTTCTCAATGACCTCTACTCACAGAAATAAACCAAAGAGGGATGACTGGCTCATTATAAATCTACATGAAGATTTCACTGGGAAACGGCATTGAGAGCCTGAAAGATCTTAAGCTTCAACTGAATTTAATTTCAGCAGGAAGTAATCACTTCTATTTCTGAACCACCAATGCATTTTAAATAAACTTCTCCTGTGGCGTGTAACACTTCTTTGTCACTAAGTAATTATGTGAGCTTGGACAAGTCACTTCCATTCTCCCGGCCTCAGTGTTTTCTTCTGTAAAATGAGAGGCTTGAACTAGGTGATTTCAAAAGTCCCTTCCAGATCTGGCATTTCATCATTTCATAATTACAATCACAAGAGCATATCTTACTTCACCTATCCTTTCAAGGCAAGAAGGGCATTTGATTTACCTTGAGAGTCTCCATACTGTCTAGAACAGGCAATTGAACCTCCCTTGGCAATTGCTGCGCAAACATGTTCAAGGATGCAGAAAAGACTACAGTTGGTTGAAATTTCCACTCTCTTTGCCCCCTTTAAGCCCTTGTCAACCCCAACCATGATTTTAACCCAAATGGCTCTCTTCAAGTCCACTCTTACCATACCTCTGGCAGGATTATAAGGAAGCCAGAGAAATAAACATATCACTTGTCACCTGGAAGAAGTTACCTAGAAGAAATGCACCCGCCAAAAAGTTCCAAGGCACACGCTTTGTAAACCATCTGACCCAACATCACACATATAGCCAGAGACCCAGAGTTCCACTTCATAGAAGAAGGTAATCTAATGTATTCCAATCATCAGAAACTAAATGTTGAAAGCTACAGCAGATGTCGTGGGGAGAGAGAAGTGAGGTAGCAGGGAGACAAGAGGGCATCAAGACCTGCAAGGAAGAGCAAGCAGAACATTCCCTTAACCTTTCTAGAGGTGGACATCTTATAAACCCAAATCCCAGAGGCAGCTGTACTGCAGGGATAGGAGACACCTGCTCATAAGGCATTTAGCCTTAGCTCTTGGGACTCTGAAGCCAGAATGTCTGGGTTCAAATCCTAGCTCTGCTAATTAATAGCTGTATAACCTTGGAAAAGTTAATCATCCTTCTGTGCCTCAGTCTCCTCATCTGTAAAGCAGGGATAACAGCAGCACTTCGTTCATAAGGTTGTTGGAAAAATAAAATGAGTTAATACATGTACTGCTCATACAAGTACCTGGTACACAGTAGGTGCTCAATAAATGAGAGCGTCTAGTTACTGCTGTTATTATTAGACAGTTCTGGGAACCTCGGGGTTAAGAGAACAAAGGAATTACACCGCACAGATTCAAAGTCTGTACTTCTCTCCTCTAGTGATAACTGCAAGGATAAACCTTTACATATTTATGTGTATTTGTGTACGTTATCAGTCTTAACTACTCCCAACAACAGAAACTATTCTTCAAAAATTTAAATTCCTTTCTAAACGATATTCTAGATTTCAAAAACGACTCGATCACACAGGCTCTGGGAGTACAATAGGACTATTAAACTGTAGGGCTGAGAGCACATGGGCACACAAAGACATCTCTGTAGCAGTCTGAGCTATCACATACCACTGCCTCCATTTCAGAGAGACGCCTCCTTAAGAAAGCAACGAACAAACTCCACTGTTCGCTCACACCAGAGTTCTTGGATGTGATGGTTCTTAAATCCCTGGCAAGGCCTTATTAGAGATCAGAGGATCTCAGTTCTCTCCATTAGGACAGCGTCAAATCCCTTTCAAGCAATTTTCTTAGGTCAGCATCATTATTTGAGATGCCAGGGAAACTGGTGAAACTTCCAACCACTAAACTAGTTCCTTGTTTGGGGGTGAAGACATAACGTAAAGGTAGAAAATATTTTAGCTATCTTGAGGAAATTTTTGAGACTGGGAACTGGTAAGAAATTTAAAGAGAACCATGAAAATTTCTTATTAAAATCCCTTTTTCAAAACAGTCGTTTTAGTAAAGAAAAAACAAATACCACCACAACAAAATCCAACTAAAAAACTAGAGTTTTCAGAAAATAATGACCCTTAAAAGTTCCAGGTCATTCCCTGATGCGATATCTAGAACTCTGGTTCTCCAAGCATCTTTCATAAACAAGTAGAAGAGTTAAACAGGTACAAGAGCTAATATTTTGTCTTGTGTTCCTTTTTCAGATGATGAAGTAAAGAAGAAAGTCAGCAACGGTCATGCTGTCCTCAAGATGTTCAACTACATTTTTTATAATTCTGTTCTGAAAAACAACGGAGACCCTAAACACAGAGAAACTGAACAAAAGAAGCAGCAAAATTTGGGTAGACCACAAAAAAGGTAGTCTATGATCTCTGTTCCAAGGGGACCAGATCTCAGAAACTGCAAGAACAAGTTTGCCACAGCAACGCTATTAGGCCGAACACTGCAGAACTGATGGGGGTGCTGGAGCGTTTCCAGAAAACAGAGGATTGTCTGTCTACAACACCCACCTCAGCTGCTTCTGGTAAGGAAGGACAGTAGTCAAAACTGTATAAAGCCAAGAAGAAGTCATATTTGACAAATCACTCCCATCAAGACAGTGATGTCAATCATAATAAAATATTTTGGCAAGACTGGAAATGTGTACCTGTGGGAACCTGGAAAATGTGACAGATTTTTGTTTTCTTGGCCCTTTATCAGCAAGTTAATTATAGCAACTGTACAACCTACTCAGAGCTTGAGAGAAACGCAGTTGGCTGTTGAAACCAAGATGCTGCTCTCCTGAGCATGGGAAAGACAGATGACAGTAGTGCTTACACACGAAAATACTCTGCGTACGGCATGACAACGAGCTAGACAGCACAGCCAGATGAGAAAGAAGTATATTCTGCAGATATATGGGTGTGCAAGCCTAAGAAGGACACACAACACCTCTGTACATACACACCCACAAATACACAAACACACATACACACGCATGTAAATCTCCAGAGCCCACATGGCTCTGGTCACGTTACATTCAGGGCTGCTTCCTCACAGGGCAGACTGTACCTTCACAGCTATAACTGTACACCGCCACCGCTGACCTTTCCACCAGATTTTCATCATGATGCCAGCTCACCGCCATTTTCCCCATGCCAAAGTAAGGTTCCTCTTTCAGGTACGGCATTTTCTGGGGATCCATGAAATTCAACAAAGTTACGTTGTATGCTGCTCTGTTCTTAATGTCCATTTCATCTTGTCCATCAAAGGATGACCCCATACCAACCCTGGGGAAATCTGGGCCTATACACACTGGCACGGCATCGATATTAGCTTTTTCTTTGGAAGCCAGCTCTTCCAAAGCCTGGATGGTCTCTATCTGCAGGTAGTCATTGAGCTTGAGGAAGGTCTGACAGGCAGCAGCTATTTCAGCCTCGTTGTATTTCGCATTAGAACCCTTCACTGGCCAGGGTACCGTAAAGAGCCTGGTGTTCAGGTACTTGTAGGTGCAGCCTGGGTTACCAATGAGGAGGCGAGACACTGGAGTGAGCAGATCTTTGCCTTGGATCCTAACCAGGTCCCGAAATAAGCAGCCACGCTTGTGCAGTGCCAGAAAGGCTTCCTGAACCTCTTTATGGAGCTCCTCGGGGACGCTGCCGGCTTCTCGGAGAATTAGTTTAGGATATTTCAGCTGCCACTAAAACAAAACCAAAGCAAAAACGTGTTTATGAATAGTGATCATTTTATTATTTCCAAAAATGTGTTCCTTTGCAAGCATTAAGAGGGAAAAAAAAACCATAAGGTGGTATTTCCAAACAGGATTCTTATCTCTCTAGCCTAAAACAGAAGACTAAATAAAACAAATGTCATCAACTCTCCAGTCAAGTTTCAAGTCCAAGCTCAAACAATTAACAATCTTTCAAATTATAGTAATAATAATTTGGGCTTTCATCTCCCAGTTTCCCTCTAGGACCACTTCTCCCCACCCCTCAGTCTGTCTTCCAGCCTTTGCCCATCCAGAAAACACAATTTTATTAATTAACTGCTCAATGCCTACCTATTAAGTGCTTACTAAGTGCCGTGTACTATTCTCAATGATTTACACACATTAACTCGTTTACTTCTCACAACTTTATGTGGTAGTACCATTACGATGTCTAGTCTATAGATGAGAATACTGAAGCATAGAGAACTTTAAAAGTTTGCCCAAAGCCACGTAGCTGATAAATACTGGAGCTGGAACTTGAAGCCACTGGGCTCCAGAGCCTGGCTCCAGAGCATGCGTACTTAACCACGAGACTGCACTGCCTCTCGAGAAATGACAATCTGGTTTCTGCTTCAACGCTTTCACTGAAAGAGAAATCACTTCTCTTTGGGAGTTAGACACTAAGTCCCACGAACACAAGAGCCGTGACCATTTTGTTCACAACCATAATACTAGTGCCCAGAATGTACTCAGTAAACGTGGAATGAACGAACGAGTATTCCACTGCAATTCAGAAAGTTGTAATAATTCTACCGGCGTCACTGGAGGAGAGTACTGTAAGATAATTCCCTCCTCTAATGCGGAAATACATGGATTTATCGATGCAGTTGAGGACTGCATAATCTTTTCAGCCACGACTTCTGGCTCCTAGGGCTGGACACATGAAGTTGTGTCAAGCCAGAGTTCCCTGATTCTATACAACGAAACTGACTTTTTTTTAACCAAAGCACAGGATTTTACATTTATCCCCAGAAAGTTTAAGCTAATTGGTTCCTTCTTAGTATTGTGTTGCCCACCATTTTTGACACACATTCCTTCTATATCTTCATTCAATAATTAGCATTTATATGATAAACAGGGCAAGACCATTTATTCTTCTATACATTTTTTTTTCATCCTACATATGTCTATAGAGCACCTACCGAATAGCAGACGGAGACAAGGTTTCTGCCCTGACAGAGCTATTTACCAAATCAGGTAAATAAATATGGAGAAGCAATCCCAAATTATGTTAAGTACTACACAGAAACAAACCAGTAGGAAATCTGCCATTAGAGAAGGAAAGACTCTAAGGAGCTGGCATTTAAGCTGAGATCTTCAGGAGAAGAAGGTGCCAGCCATGTGACGAGCTAGGGCAAGAACTTCCCAGAAAGAGGGACCAAAAAAATACAAAGGCACTGAGGATGGAGACCAGACTATTCTAGAGACAAAAGGAAGGCCAGTTTTACTAGAGCAAAAGAGCCAAAGGCAGAGTGACATGCGATGAGGAGGAAGAGGAAGGCAGAGTTGCACTGCACTGAGCCTAGGAGGTCAAAGAAAGGAAACTGGATTTGACTCCAGGTGCGCTGGAGGACTTCACGGGGAGAAGAGTCATTTGATTTACATTTTATAAAAATCACTCAGTTAAAATATCAGGCATGGATTGGAAAGAGGCAAATGTGAAAGTGGACAATCCTATTATGTGCTTTTACAATCGCCCAGGAGAAAAGTGATGATGGTATGAATTAGAGACAGAGATAAATGGACAGATAAAATACATATTTTATAGGCAAAGGACATGCTTATGGATTAGATGTGAGGGATGAAGCAAGGAAAGAAGCTACGGATGACTCCCAGATTTCTGGATTTAATAACTGAATAAACAATTTATAATTTTTTTGAATAAGAAAGACTGGGACAAAACAGGAATGGTAGGTAGAAGAATAAGAAGGAATGAGGTGCTCCATTTTGGAGCTGTAGCCATTAAGACACCTATGAAATCTTCAGGTGGAAATAGCCAGGGGGCAACTGGACATACACATCTGGAACTCAGAGGAAAAAGTGAGGCTGGGGAAATCAAGGTGGGAGTTGTCAGCACACAGCTGATTTTTAAAGGGCTGGAAATGAGATCTCCTAGGGAAACAGCACAGATACAGAAGAGAGCCAAAGCCACTTCCCGAGTCACAGAGGAAGCCTCAGCACAAGAGACCAGGTAGAAAACCAGGAGAGTGTATTACTACAGAAGCCAAAAGACAGGATTATTTCAAGAAGAAGGGAGCAGTCAACTATGTCAGCTGCCCCTGAGAGACCCAGTGAGATGAGGACAGAAATTATCCACTAGATCTGGCAGCATGGAAATCACCGATGACAATGACAAGAGGAATTTCAGCAAAGTGGTGGGGATGAGAGTCAGATGAGAGGATGCTGATGATGGAAGGAAAGAGGAGGAAGTGGGGGTGGCATGTATAAATGTCTGAGTGGTTTTGCTATGAGAGGAATAAGAAAACAGAGCTGTTGATGAAGAGGAATGCTAGATCAAGGGCCAATCTTAATAATGGAAGATAGAAGAGTACACTAGAGTTTGTCAGTCTCTCATGGGAGTGATACAGGAGGAAGAGGTCGACGTTGCAGAAGAGAGGGTGATTAACCACAGGAGCCAAGTCCTTGAGCGTCTAGAGCAAGTGAGCTATAGACACCCCATGGGATTTCTATGGCAACCCACTAGAGTTGGGGTCGGGGGGAGGGGACATACGTTTAATATGAGTACTATTATAAACAGACACAAGTACACAAGTAGTTTGTACACACAAGTACACAAGTAGTACTTGTGTCTATTTTATAACTACCAGTGATGTGTCAGAGTCACTTTGCATCACCTCGAGAAAGCCTATTGTGTACGTCTCTTCCCAATGCACATTCAGTAATGCCACACTGGTAGCTTAAAATTAGCCATGGTGGAGTATTTACACCACAGCAATCAGGAAACACTAAAAATCAAGGCTAGTTTTTTCCTCAGAGAGCCAATTGTTAAACACTTAGTAGGACACCACTGTATACGCTCAAAATTTGTTACTGACAGGAGTATAAGATCAAAAACATTAGGATAGGAGAAAAGATACTTCCTATATTGGAATATGCTGGGACTGGAGACTATAGAAGATATATTAACACAGGGAAAACAGAACTCTAAGGAGAAAGAATATGTAAATTCAGATAGGATTGTAAATTTGATAATAGACGGATGACTAAGTTACAGGGGGAAATTCGGGAGGATAAGGGGAGCACTCCAATTTTTCTCAGTGAAAATGTAAAACGAATCACTATCTAAGAATGTGTGGTGGTCATTACGGCCGTTTGCCAAATAGTTCTGGATTCTTCCTCCATCACCCAGCTTTTTGGGCCCACTGTACAATTACACTTCCTGGCCCCCTCATGTTGGACAAAACAGGTGACTATTTCTGTCCAAAGAAAGATGATGGCTGTCACTTCCAGCCTGGAGCATTTCAATGCCAGTGCCAGACCTTCCAGAACACTCTTTTTCTCTCTGGCATAGTAGCCAGCTGGTGGCTTCTCAGATCCCTGAGTTACTACTTTAATGGGTAGTGACTCTCTGCCAAACCACAAATGATACATAAAATGAACAAGAAATATTGTTGGGTGAAGCTACCGAGATTTGAGGGTTGTTTGTTACTACAGCGTTATCTAGCCTATGCTGGCTGATCTAGAACGCAGGAAATAGAAGGTATGCAGGAAGTCTGAGGAAGTATGCAGAAGGAAAATGAATTAGTCAAGTCTGAACGTGGGAAAATGACTCTACTGGGAAAGCACAGTAGGCTTGCCCTGCTTCTCAGAGCGCCTGTCTGAGGTGTGTGATCATAAATTTAAAGTGACAAAGAGCAGAGTTATGTGACACAACACATGGACCGTCATTGAGACTGTCAAGATCTATTTAGGATTTATAGTTTCTATACCTCATTTATCCCAACTGGAAAACAGAAACAGAAATATCATACTTTCTGTTTACACAGCTCATGAAGAGAGCAATGTAATCTAGTGAGCAAGAGACAGAGCGTTCTGGAGCCGTGAGCAAACTCTAATGTCATCACTACTCTGAGCGAGTCCCTGAGGCCTCAGTATACTTGAAGCACATGTAACTAGCAGAAGACTGGAAAAAACACACACGCACATATACATACACATACCACTCTTGCTGCTACTATCCCACGTATACTGGGACTGGAGACTATAGAAGATATATTAACACAGGGAAAACAGAACTCTAAGGACCTGGGAAATTCACATAACCATATGAGTATCACATGTAAACACCCTGACATTAAAAACAGCATTCTAAAAATGAAACAATAATAATGACATGCGCAAGTATTCAAAAAATCTTTTTTTCACTGCTATCTCATGTCCCGCTGCCCTCCGACCACATTTGCTTTTCTCCTACAGGCCTCAGGCCCAGCACCTCAGCACTTCCCTTTCAAGGCAGGCTCTTTCCCCCAACCTCTACCTGGCAGGCCCTGCTCTTCCTCCAGGTCACTTTCTCAAAGAAACTTACCCTGAATTCCACTCTCAAATAGGTGTCCTCCATTGTTATTCGTCACACACGTTACTTATCTTTCATAGCACTTATCAATCTCTAACTATATTTTTATTTGAACTTTTATTTGTTTAATAATCTCTCCTACAAGACTGCAATCTCTTAGAAGAAGGAGATGGTAGCGATTTTATTCTCCATTATATCTCTGGCACTTGGCTCAAATATAAGTGCTCAAGACTTCTTATAAGAATAAAAGAATAAAGGCTCAAAGACTGATAGAAAGCAGATTAGTGAATGTCTGGGCTGGGAGTGGGAAAGAAGACTGACTGTAAAGAGGCATGAGGCATCTTTTTGGGGTCCTGGAAGTGTTCTAAGACTACTATGGGGATGGTTGCACAACTCT